CAAAACTTTTGATATGCTTTTATAAGGTCGAGAAATTAAAGAAAAGTTTGCTTTCACGATAAGCTTTTAAAGATTATTCAAGTAGCAATGAAAACAAGACGACCGCAATAATAAATAAATAAATAAATAAATAAATAAATTTTTAGCTTCAGCCATCTTTTAGTTCAAAAGTAAATACTATTTTTTTTTTTGTTTTTTTTTGTGAACAACAACAAAGAAAAATTAGTTTCGTACTATCATCACACTTATCTAACAATCTATATAGTTATTATCAATTATCAATCATATCTTAGATCAAGGCTTATCCAAACATATCTCTATATATATAGTTATTTGGATTGCAATTCTTTTAAAAGTCCCTGAATATATCCCATTAATTTATTTATCTCCTACATTCAGAAAGAAAAAAAAAAAAAAAAAATTCTTAGTATCAAAGTTCCCCTAATATATAATGTGTGTACTCTGGAAGAACATAAATTAAACAGGTGAGAAAAAAATGTACACAAATTATTTTTTCTTTTCTTTTTTTGTTAATGAGTTTAAATAAGGCTTTTACATACACTACTTAAACAATCACCATAAATTTATTAAATTTAAAGTCTCTTTTACACAAATTAAACCCCTCCATAATTCTGGATCAAAATACTTTTAGAATAAAATAAAAAAAATTAATTTTTTTTTTGTTCATTTAGAAATATATAATCATTATTATTATTATTATTATTATTATTATCCAATTAGTTTTCTTTTTTTCTGGTATTTCAAACTAAGAAGGTAAATATATAACATATCTAAATGATAAATTAAAGCAAATAATGGACTAAAAAGCATGGGAGAGAAAATAAAAAAATAAATTGTTATTCAAACAAATGAAACTACTCTTTTTAAACTATAGTTAACTAACTTTCTATTATTAAAAGAAAAAAAATTTTTTTTTTTCAAGCATTAAACTTTCCTTGAATTAAGCATAAACATAGTTATCGATAAGATACATTATGACTTAATATCTTATTTCTTGCAAAAATATTTAAAATATCTCTATATTTATTTTATTTTATTTTTTTCAATTTTTTAAATCGGGCATTTATAAAATCAATATCAATAAATTAATCTCAATAGATATATAATAATAATAAACTAAAGATTCCTCTTTAATTAAAAAATATAAACGTAACGCACATTTATTGATGGTACATGTTTAAAAAATTAAAAAAAAAAAATTAAAAATAAATGTCAAATATATTTAAAAAAAATACTCGGCAACGGGGAATTGAACCCCGGTCCCCCGCGTGCTGAAAATGACAGGCGGAAATTCTAGCCACTAAACTATTGCCGATTTAAATCTTAACTTGAAAAAAATATAAGTTGAACATATTTACATCACCTGAATAAAAAACCCTAACCCCCAAATTCTAAGTTTTAATACTTAAGGGGAAAGGGCTGGATGGTGTAAAGGATAACACGTTCGCTCGACAGCGGAAGATACTGGGTTCGATTCCCAGAATACCCCCTTTTCCTGAGGATGTGTACGGGAGTATACACCTAGACTGAAAACCACAGGCTACCCTGGTTACAGGAATGCCGACTCTTCCGTACAGTCTAAATAGCCTGCAGGTGATTGCGGGCCGTATCTCTGGCGGAAGAGATTAAGAAATACATGGGCGTCCGTGAAGATAAGTGGAAATGGGTTGGGAAGGTTTTGGGACCGACAGACTGGTTCTCCCTGTTCCTCGTAAGCTGGCATCAGGGCCCATCTTCCGGGCTACCGGAGACGCACAGAACAGAAACCACCCGTACTAAAAAGGTACAAATGAAAACCGGCAAGTCACATAGTCAGACAATAAAAGGATAGCGCAGATGCTTATGTTATATAATTCTATAACCCTTGAATAAAAACAAACAAACAAACAATTTTAATACTTAGAAAATTGTGGGAAAGGGTTAATTGGTGTAATCGAAAACTCAATAGTTTTCCAGCATTTGACTCACATTGCTCTCATCATTAGAAAAAGTTTACAAAAGTAAACACCTGAACCCTCAGGCTACTTTGGCCATCAGGAACTCCAAATCTTCCATTCTGTCTAATTAACCTGCTTGTGATTGATGGTGAACTGTATCTCTCTCTCCATCAGATAGGATTAAGACATATAGGTGTGTCGATGAAAATATTTGGAAATGAATAGGGTGGATTTGGGACTGACAAACCGGTTCTCTCTGATCTTGGTAAACTGGCATTAGGGCCCATCTTCCGAGGTATCCGAGACTCCCAGATCTAAACTACCCATACTAAAAAGGTACATCAATAGATGGCAAGTCACCAAAGTTAGGCAATAATAATAACGTTGATGTCATATTATATGTAACTTATAGCCCTTTAATAATATAATATAATATAAAATAAATAAACAAACAAACAAACAAAACAGACAATTTATTTTATAAATTACTTGATTAAAACTTTATAGTAATTCCTATATATATAATTTTTTTTTTCTTTTTTTTTTAAAAAACAAACAAAAACAATTCTAAATAAATAATGCAACTGCAAACGACAGCAAGAGTGCAAGGTGATGAACAACAGTCGTAATCCCCGAGTTAACTTGTGCAAGAGTGGTCTCCGCACTGGGCACCTGGGCAATCGTCTCAACGGAAGAGCCGGCCGGAGATATTGTAGTTCCGATCACCTCGCTACCCTTTGACTGTTCAGCGGAGCTTTCTACTCCAGCCGAAATGGACGACCCCAGAATGTTGCCCGTGGAGGCTGAAAAAACGGTTGTGGGTACAACAACTTCCGCAGAACTAGTGGAACTAGTGGTTCCTGAAGTTTCCACGGGCACGGTAACACTGCCGACGGGGACACTTGCAACACTGCTCAGCGTTACCACCGTCGTAATCCCCGCAGAAACTGTTGGCGACTCCACAACCTCATAGGTTGTTGCAGTGGACTCGGTGACCGCCACTTCAATACCATTGGACACTGTGGTGTACGTGGTGAGTCCACTGGAAATGGACGTTTTGGTTGTGCAGGCTGTGCAAACCTCTTCAGAAACAGAAATCTTTGACGAGGTGGCCAGGACAACAGTAGACGTCACAATACTTGCTACCGTCCCCGAGGTAACCACCGCTGACTCAACAATAGTATACGTCGACTCGCAGGGTTCAGTCACAATAACAACAATAGAACTACTCAATGTAGACTCATAGCTGGTAACACCACTCACAACTGTTGTATAGGTCTTGATGATGCTGGGACTATATGTGGAGGTCAAAGTAGCAACAATGCCCGATGATGTGACCTCCGACTCCACAACTGTAAAGGTCGTCTCGCAAGGCTCTGTCACTGTAACAACAGTACCTCCAGAGGTAGTTGCGTAAGTGGTAGTACCGCTAGATACCGTCGTGTATGTCTTGACGCCGTTGCTGGTGGCGTACAAAATTGAGGTAGAGGTAAACACAACATTACCAGAAGTAACTGGACTTTCAATAACCGTATATGTCGTTTCACAGGGCTCCGTGACTGTAACAACAGTACCTCCAGAAGTAGTTGCGAAAGTAGTGAAGCCGCTTGAAACTTCAGTGTAAGTCTTGACACCAGAGCTGGAGCCATACAACGTTGACGTCGAAGTAACAACAACACTTCCAGACGTAACTGGATATTCAGCAACTGTATAGGTAGTTGCACAAGGTTCAGTTACAGTGACAACAGAGCCACCAGAAGTAGTGATGTATGTCGTAGAACCGCTAGAAACTGTAGTATAGGTCTTGGGCTTTCCAGTTTCGTACAAAGTAGAGGTTACGGTGCTAATGACTCCGCCGCTGGTCACGGGCGATTCGACAACAGTATAGGTGGATTCACAAGGCTCAGTAACAGTAACAACTCTGCCGCCAGATGTTGTTGTGATCGTGGTCACACCTGTATAAACCGTTGTATGGGTCTTGCAAACTGTGCAAGCTTCAGTTACAGTTTCAGTGGTGCCTGGAACTTCCGCAGTGCCTGTATAAGTAATGACAGTGTACCCGGAGCTGGGAAGCTTGGTGACCTCAACAGTCACTGGAATTTCTTCTGTTGTGGTGATGGTAGTAACTTGACTATTGGCAAGAGTAGAAGTGATGGTGACAACAGTAGACACAGTGAAGGTCTTAGTTGAGCACTTGGAGCATGGCTCGGTAATAGTGTATGTGGTTTCAGGAGCAATCACAATAGTCTCAGTGGTTGTCTCACAAGGCTCGGTAACTGTAGTAGTAACAGTGCCACTGGTCTTGACGGTAGTGGTATACTTGGTGACTGTAGAAGTAACAGTAGTAGTGCCAGCAGCAATAGAAGTGGCAGAAGTGGCGGAGGAAGTGGTAGAAGTTGCAGAAGAAGAAGACAATGAAGAAGAAGAAATACCTGTAGAAACAGAAGTAGTAGATGAGGTAGAATTGTTAGATGAGATTGCAGTGGTGGATGAGGTAGAAGTAGTAGTAGATGTCGAAGATTCGCTGGAATGAGGATACAGGGCATAAAGAATATCATCAATGAACTTCCCGTAAACAATGTAGAAGCTATCTGCAACTGCGCTAAACTCAGGACTTTGCTTTGCAAGACTTGAGATGGCTTCTTCAGCTGCTGTAAGTGTGGCAACAGTGGCCAACCTGACATATGATTCCACAAGAGAAGGATCGGCATAATTGCGAATCTGGCTAATCAGAGACAAGAAATCAGTGTAAGAAGACTCCTTGAACCAAGCAGAAAGACCCGCAATGAACTCATTGAAAATAGTGATGGCTTCTTCAATAGTAGAAGCACGCTTGAGAATGACACTGCCATTGAATAAGATTGAAAAGATTTTACTAGCTTCAGCTCCAAGAATACTACGGAACAAATCAATAATGGAAGCAACAAGATCAGTGAGTTGACCAAGTTCGTCAAGAGAGGCAACAGCATCAAGAATAGCTTTTCTAATTGATTCAATAAAAGAGTCAAAATCGGGCACTTCACTAGGTGTAGCAGAAACAGAAGATGATTCTTCAATAGTAGAAGAAGCTTCAAGTGTTGAGGAAGTAGGGGGTTCAGAAACAGGAGCAGAAGACTCAACAGAAGAAGATTCAGTAGAAGATTCAACAGAGGAAGATTCAACAGAGGAAGACTCAACTGAAGAGGATTCGACAGAAGAGGATTCGACAGAAGAAGACTCAGTAGAAGATTCAACAGAAGAAGATTCAGTAGAAGATTCAACAGAGGAAGACTCAACAGAAGAGGATTCAACAGAAGAGGATTCAACAGAAGAGGATTCAACAGAAGAGGATTCAACAGAAGAGGATTCAACAGAAGAGGATTCAACAGAAGAGGATTCAACAGAAGAGGATTCAACAGAAGAGGATTCAACAGAAGAGGATTCGACAGAAGAAGACTCAACAGAGGACGACTCAACAGAAGAGGATTCGACAGAAGAGGATTCGACAGAAGAGGATTCGACAGAAGAAGACTCAACAGAAGAAGACTCAACAGAAGAAGACTCAACAGAAGAAGACTCAACAGAAGAAGACTCAACAGAAGAAGACTCAACAGAAGAAGACTCAACAGAAGAAGACTCAACAGAAGAGGATTCGACAGAAGAAGACTCAACAGAAGAAGACTCAACAGAAGAAGACTCAACAGAAGAAGACTCAACAGAAGAAGACTCAACAGAGGAAGAATCAACAGAGGAAGACTCAACAGAGGAAGACTCAACAGAGGAAGACTCAACAGAGGAAGACTCAACAGAGGAAGACTCAACAGAAGAAGACTCAGTAGAAGATTCAACAGAAGAAGACTCAGTAGAAGATTCAACAGAGGAAGACTCAACAGAAGAGGATTCAACAGAAGAGGATTCAACAGAAGAAGATTCAACAGAGGAAGACTCAACAGAAGAAGACTCAACAGAGGAAGATTCAACAGAAGAGGATTCAGTAGAAGAAGATTCAGTAGAAGATTCAACAGAAGAGGATTCAACAGAGGATGATTCAACAGAGGATGATTCAGTAGAAGACTCAACAGAAGATCCAACAGATGATGGCTCAGCAGATGATTCAATAGAAGACTCAGAAGACCCCAGAGAAGACTCAGTGTCAGTTATAGTTTCAAAACTAATCTCGCTACTCGATGATGAGTACTCACTGCTAGCAGCGCATGCCTCTTCAGTTGCAGATGTGGCAAGTCCATTTGAAGACAAATATGGGAAAATGTTTGCAACAGCATTATTATAAATTTCAGAGTAATTAGGAGCACATGAAAGTAGTCCTAACAACACATCACTATTAACATCAAAATATGTGAAACCTTGAGGAACCGCACGCTTAATTAAACGGTAAGCGGTAGATGTGGTGATAATAGTAACCATAGGAGTAGTGAATTCAGCGTTGATAGCATCAAGAACTTGCTGGTACAAAGCAGAGCACTCGGCTTCAGTATAGTTGGGAACGCAAGATTCAGTAGTAGTTTCGGAAGCAGATTCACTGCTTTCAGTTGATGAAACTTCTGATGAGGAAACTTCTGATGAGGAAGCTTCTGATGAGGAAGCTTCTGATGAGGAAACTTCTGATGAGGAAACTTCTGATGAGGAAACCTCAGATGAGGAAATCTCCGATGATGAAATTTCTGATGATGATTCAACGTATGAGGAACTTTCTTCAACACTGCTAGAACTAGAAACACACAAATCAAGTGTTGGAATTGTGGAAATGTCGTTAGCATTCAAGTAAGGATAAATGTTAGTTTGGGCATTGGTTTGAATATTAGGGTATTTGGAAACACAGTGAAGAAGACCGGCCAAAACAGTGGTGTCAATATAAAAATATGTGGAGGTAGATTCAGAAGTGGTTGAACTTGAAGAAGTTGAGGATGAACCGGTTAAGGTAGAGATAATTATACGTTTCAACAAGCGTCGACGCTCGGGTATAGGAAGAGCAACAGATGAAACATGGGGTTCGGCTGCATCAATATCACCAATGATTTCATCATAAGCGGCACTGCATTCAGCTTCGGTGTAATCAGCAACACAGGTGGCCACTGAAGAAACTTCAGCCTCTGAAGAAGAAGTTTCAGAAGATTCAACAGTTGAAGAAACAGAGTCAATGTATGTGGAGCTTTCTTCAGAGCTAGAACTTTCTGCACAAAGACTTAGCGAAGGGATTGTTGATATATCATTTGCTGTCAGATATGGGTAAATATTGGTCTGAGCATTAGCTTGAATATCGGAATACTTGGAGACGCAGTGAAGAAGACCGGCAAGAACAGTGGGATCAATATAAAAATAAGTAGTATCAGTTGAAGGAGAAGATGAAACTTCGACAATACTAATAGTTCGTTTTGCCAAACGCAGTTTGCGATCTGGAGTAAGAATAGAAATTGTTATTACAGATGAAGATGAAGACGAAGATTCAGATGCTTCAATCTCACCCAATATTTCATCATAGGCACTGCTACATTGGGCTTCATCGTAATCGGCAACACAGGTAGCAGTAACTGAAGCCTCGGCTTCAGATGTAATTGTGGAGGAAACTTCTTCAACAGAAGAGGATTCTTCAGAAGTAGAAGAAGCAGCGCAAACATCAAGAATAGCAGAAGTGGGTATACCATTATCAGAAAGGTAATTATAAATGTTGGCTTCAACATTGGATTGTATGGTGCTGTATTTGGGGGCACAGTTGAGAAGAGAAGAAAGAACAAAAGAATCCAAGTAAGCAAACACTTCAGTGCCATCACGTCTGACCAATCGCAATTTTCTTTTAGTTACAACAAAGATTTCCTGGGAAGAAGTGGCTGCTTGAGCATCAGCAATTTCAGCCATAATACTATCGTAAGCGCTACTACATTGAGCTTCGTCATAATCATTGATACAGGTAGGGGTAGTTGAAGCTTCGACTTCAGAGGTTAAAGATTCTGAAGAAGAAAATTCCAAAGTTATAGAGTCTGAAGATTCAATTGATGAACTTTCTTCAGAACTAGAACTTTCTGCACAAAGACTTAGCGAAGGAATTGTTGATACATCATTTGCTGTCAAATATGGGTAAATGTTAGTTTGAGCATTAGCTTGAATATCGGAATACTTGGAGACGCAGTGAAGAAGACCGGCAAGAACAGTGGGATCAACATAAAAATAAGTAGTATCAGTTGAAGGAGAAGATGAAACTTCGACAATACTAATAGTTCGTTTTGCTAAACGCAGCTTGGGAGCCATGGTAATAATGGTGACAGAAGCAGATGAAGATGAAGATGAAGATGAAGATGCATCAATCTCAGCTAATATTTCATTGTAGGCACTGCTGCATTGGGCTTCATCATAATCAGCAACACAAGTGGGGGTAGTTGAAGCTTCGACTTGGGATTCAATTGTGGAAGAAGACTGCTCAGCAGAAGAAGAAGATTCATCAACAGTGGAAGAAGCTAAGCACACGTCAATAGTAGCGGAGGTTGGAACACCATTATTAGAAAGGTAGCCGAAAATGTTAGCTTCAACATTGGATTCAATATCATTGTAATTAGGTGCACAAGATAAAAGGCCGGCAAGAACCAAAGCATCCAAGTAAGCATATACTTCAGTGGAATCTCGTTTTGCCAAGCGTAATTTTAATGTTGATATCACAGTAGGGGCAGCAGGTTGATTAGTAGCAGCAGAAATTGCAGAAATGATATTATCGTAGGCGCTGCTACATTCAGCTTCGTCATAGTCTGGAGCGCAAGTAGTTGCCACGGATTCAACAGTTGAAGATTCAGAAGATTCAGAAGATTCAGAAGAAGAAGGATAGACAGTGGATGATTCTGAATCTGATGTTGTGGTTGCTGAACAGAGACTGTAAACTGGGGAGTAAATTTCATCCATACTTAAATATTGGAAAACTGAGGTTGATGAATAATAGTCTAATTCCATTTCATTTGACCAAGTTGAGTAACAATTCAAAAAGCTATCGATTTGAATTTGGCTGATGTAAATCGACAAGATGTTGTCCAACCCTCTTTTACGATTTTTTTTAAAATAATTTGCTTCCGTAACAGCACTAGCGACAACAGAGAATGCGCTGAAACAACCGGGCTCATCGAGGTCTTCGTAACAGGGAACAGGAGTTGATACTGGAGCTTCCATTCTTTCATATAAATCGATTTCTGGGCTTGGAGTGATTGTGGAGTCCCATTGTGGTTCTGTGGAAGTTTGGGCAACACAGCTACCTATGAGGAGCCATGGGATTAACTTGAAAGGAATCATTTTACTAATAAAAAGATATATTAGATTTAGTTTAAGACTAAATTTGAATGTTTAACTTACATTTGAAAATTTCCACGATAATTTTTCAAAAAAAAAAATATTGAATATAAGTGAGTAAAAAATAATTTAAATTAACAAAAAAAAAAAAAAAACAGACTGGTTTGATTTAAAAACTAAAAACTAAAAAAAAAAAGATGTTTAAAAAATTTATCATTTTTTACAAAAAGAAGGGAGGCGGGGGGCAATTCCACTTTTTTATATAAACGAATTATAATATAAAACATGACAGGCAGATAAGATTTTTTGATTATGAGGGGGGGGGGTGAGAATGTTTGTATGTGTATGTATGAGAAAGAAATAAATAAAGAGGACAACCAAAACAAAAGGTAAAAAGGCTTTTTATGGAAATTTCTCCCACTAAAACATAAAAAAAAATTAAAAAAAAAAAAAAAAAATTCGGTTAGCCGCATGGATATTTGGGAGAAATTTGAGTGTACGTATGCACCAAATGAAAATAATAATAATAATAATAATAATATTATTATTATTATTATTATTAGAGATTATCAAAAAAAAAAAAAATTAATCCCATTTGATTGAATTTTATTGTGAGAATTTTGAAAAATTTGAATTGAAAACTTAAAGATATTCAATTATTGATTTTTAAAAAAATATTAAAAATATTAAAATAAATACTGTTTAAAAGACAAAGTTGATTTTAAAATCGGGGGTTTTTTTTTTTTTAAAGTAACAGCCAAATAACTTTATATCCTCGGAGTAAAAGGTTTAAATTATGGGTTTTCGTTTATGCAGTCCAAAATAGGAAATATGCAGAATCATATATATATATATATATTCTTTATTCATTTAAAAAAAAAAAAAAAAGCTGAAAACTCCAAAACCTTCTAATTTTAACAGTTGGCTAATAATATGCAGTAAACTAAACAGTTTAGAACAAAACTGCCTTGAAAAAAAAAAAAAAAAAAATATCATTTTTGATCCAAAAACTTTTTGTAATAACAACTTCTTTTTATGGCATAGTGTATCTCAATAAAAAGTTACATTCTCATCTATAAATACTTCAAGTTCGATTCAAATCAATTACTCTTTAGTTTAGCTTATAAAAACTAGATTATTTTAAATTTATAAATAAAATATTTTGATAATTACTTAATTACTTAATTACTACAATAAATAGCTTATAGGAATTCTCAGCTATCACGAAACTGTTGAATATATTTTATTTTGGCTTCATTAATAGCAACAGATGAAACTATAAAACTTGTTGACTCAAAAATACTAAAAATAATCATGTTTTGAAATCAGGACTAGAACTCGGATTATCCCTTCAGAAGTTATAACTTAAGAACTTGTTGAGATCAAATGAAGAATTCAGCTTAAGTATAGTTAGTAGTACCATGGTGAAAGGTAGTCTCACAAGCAGATTCACAGCATTCAGTTGACGAAGTTTCTGATGATTCGACAAAAGAAAAAGATTCAGTATATGAGGAGGTTTCTCCAACACAGCTTGAATTAAGAACATACAAATCAATTTCTAAAATTGTGGAATCATCGTTAGAAGTTAAGTAAAGATATTTAGTCCGAGTATCAGTTTGAATAAAAGAATTGTTTGAAACACAGTAAAGAAGACAAAACAGAGGAATCAATGTAGAAATAAATTTATGTGATGCTTTCAAAAACAGGGGCAAATGAAGAGTTGTTATAGCACTCAAAATAAGCAATTGATGTTCTTTTGGTTAAAGTAAGATATAATTATAGTTGTAAATTGAGTATTGGCTTGAATATTGGAATATTTGAAAAAGCAATGAAAAAACCTGATGTTAATTCAATAAAGTAAATGTACTAGTAGACTTAGTTAAAAAAAAATAAGGTTCAAGTTAGAGTTGAAGTTAAAGTAAAAAAAATAAAAATGAAAGTTATCACGAAAATCTGTTTGTCTGTAGTTGAAATTGAAATGTTTAAAGAACCAACTTGACAATTGTATCATTATCTCAGTGTTTGAAATGGGTTTAGTGATTACAAGATACAATGTGAGTAGAGCAGTATTGTTTCTTTAGAAAAATTATGATATAAAGACAATTCTCAAATAAATATATATAACTGAATCCGCTTCAAATGGTTTAATTATTATTTTATCATTATTTTGATAGGTTAAAATTCCAGTTTAATTATTTAAATGTCATCATGATTCATAAATGAAAGGGGAAACAATAAATTCAAGAATAACTTCAACTCTAGTTAAATTAAATTTAAATTTAAATTAAAAATTTGAAGGCTTTAAGGCTTTAAGGTTAGTCTTTGGACAAATGTTTGTGCAATAAGTTCATGTGGCTATTATTAAAATCTGATTAGCCACATGAACTTGTTAAGTTATTTCAATCAAAAAAAAAATATATTCAATCAAATTATTATATAGCCACATAAAAAATATAAACAAATGACCACGCACTCTACTAAATTCAAGGGGGGTTTTAAAGGCTGACAACAAGTCATTTATTTATTTATTTATTTATTTATTTATTTATTTATTTATTTATTTATTTATTTATTTATTTATTTATTTATTTATTTATTTATTTATTTATTTATTTATTTATTTATTTATTTATTTATTTATTTATTTATTTATTTATTTATTTATTTATTTATTTATTTATTTATTTATTTATTTATTTATTTATTTATTTATTTATTTATTTATTTATTTTACATTTTCTTATATATATATTTTCAGCCGTACACAAATTTGTTGCAATGATATTTAAATTAGTAACAAATTGGTAACAAAATATATATACAACTTTTACTCAAACATTTCTTCATTGTCTTAATCTGATCTCTCAAACAAATCATAAAAAAGTCTTTCAAAAAAAACTTACATATAATTTGATTTAATTTAAAAAGTAATCATTCAATGGTACTTATAGTAGTATTTGTTGAACTGGAGAGAAGAGGGTATATTCATCATTTCAATGTAGGCACTTGTGTTCTTAAACTGGAGCACATTTCAAAGTTAGTGTTGAATCATAAAATTTGAAATAACTTTCAAAAGTAAAATAAACTAATTCTGAAAAAAAAAAAGAGTACTAATTTTTTAGTACATTCCATCACTAGGTACTTATTGTTAATCAAAGTTGTTAAATAGTCATAATGAAGTAAAAGAATCAATTCTTTTGTTGCAACAGAGTTAGATAATTCAGCATTATGTTAAAAGTATCGACTAAAATGGTTATCAAAAGTTATTATAATCATTATTTTTTTTATAAAGACATTAGGATTAGGACATCTTTGTCTTACGTGTAATAAAACCTTATTCTTTGTTCATCATAAGAACATTTCTCTAAGCTCAAATCCTCATCACATACTAACGCAAAGTCTGTAGTTACTTTTTTTTTTTTTCAAGTGGTATAGAAGATTTCGTGATGATAATTAATAGGTGATTGTTGTTGTTTGGGAAATACTACTGAATTAATGGCCATGAAATTTTTTTTAAATCCATTATGGGGTTGAGTAGCAGCAAAATCTGATTAGTTCGAAAAAAAAAAAATAAAAAAAAAAAAGCGAATATTACTTTTAAATTTAGTGAACATCAAAAAAAAAAAAAAAAAAAAAAAAAAAAGTTCATCATTTCACTAATTTCTTTTTTTTTTTCTCTTTTCTTTTCAAGTCATCTAATATCAAGACCTCTTTTAAATAATGGACATTAAAACGGTTTGACATTTCTTTTTTGTTTAAAATCAATTTCAATAATAATAAAAAAATCCTCAATAAAAAAAATTACTAATATAGCCGTTCAAATTGTATTTTCCGGAAACTATATATATAATAACTCAGATATACGTTGGTCTACCCAATCCTCAGCCGGCCATTTCAAACAGCAAACAAAACCTTCACTTCTTCCTTTAACTCCTAAATCACCATCTAACCTATATATATATATATATATATATATATATATCAGCAACAATCAACTTCACACAAAACCATGCCCCACCATCATCACCGCAAATCCTCCTCCCTAGACCGCCTTGCCGGAATCCCTCTTAACTCAATTTCTCCAGAAGAAGCCCATGCTGCTGCTCTAAACCAACTCGAACCACAGTCCACTGCAAACGCCGCCACCAATACCACAGAAGGTTCGCCTCCCGAGCCTACCCCATCGGCCGCCACGCCATCGGAATCCGGGGGGTCTTCACCATTCCCCTCAACAAATACTCTACTGCGAGTACTTTTTGGAATTCAACGCTACTCTGCTTACACATTTACTGGGTTTCTCGGTTTACATCTAACGTCAGTTGTTTTAGCACCAGCATTTTCCTACGACGCTGGTAATGCATCACTTCTTTTTACAAATACAATCTACCAATCGCCACTCGTCGAGCCTATTCTTGTCACTGGCTCACTTGCACTCCACATTACCTCCGGCATTGTTCTGCGTATTATTAAAGTTCTCCGCTCAAAACGACTCTATGAGTCCTACTGGACAGCAATCTCAAAGCCTACACTCTTAGCGTATGCAGGATATGCCGCAACACCCCTTGTTCTCGGCCACTTTTATGTCACACGATATCTTCCCCTCTCTATCCTCGGTGACTCCTCTCTCATCTCGCTTGACTATGTTGCGCATTCCATTGCAGACCATCCAGCTATGGCCATTGGCTCAATGCTTACCATGCTCACATTAACCCTCTATCATACAGTCTACGGCTGGCGCCGTTGGCTCAATATTTACAAGCGACCTAAACTACTTTCTGGGCCTGGCCTTTTTGTGGTTTCCGGTATTCTTCTTGGTGTTGCATCTCTCGCACGCTTAGCGGCTCATGGTCCTGCAATTGGCTGGGTGGCTTCTCAGTATGACAAAGTTCTTGGTAAAGTTTAGAAATTGTATAAACCACATAATAATTTTGAAATATTCGTTTTTTTGGATTTTTATTTATTTATTTTATTTTTTGTTTCACCATACATTCTTTACTAATTGTTTTTTTTTTTTTTTTAACTCTTTTCATACCTTGTGCTATTCTCAACCGTCCAATATCTTACAAATAGTGTTTACAAATATTTATTAAAGTTATTGTATTAAAAGAGTCTTAAGTGATAAAGTGTGGAATAAAATTCTAGAGAAAAAAAAACACTTTTACTAATAAAATTAGCATAATAATGTTAACAAAAAAATATGGTCTCTGGCGGGATCGAACCGCCGATCCTCGCGTGTCACAAGGAAGTTGCTTGTTTATTAGCACGATGCCTTAACCAACTGGGCCAAGAGACCTTTGAAAAGTTGTTGTATACTAACATTGGATCACCACTATAAAGTAACTGAACTTTAAAACGTCGCTTAAAAATGCCTAATTTGGATTTTACAGAACAAAAATGTCAGACCCCCCCAACAACAACCAAACCACGTTTAGTGGCGGCGACCCCCCTGCCGACAATAATTATACCGACAATAATAATGAACAGACTAATATTAATGATATGCAAAAAATTATTGCTGTTGAACTGAAGGAGAAAGAAAGTTCTCATTCCAGAGGACCTCATTCTCATGAAGCTCATCACATCAAACCCTCGACAAAAATCCAAAAAAATAATGAAAAACCAGACTCCCATAAAAAAATTGAAACTATCCACAAAAAGCTTGAATCGAATGATAAGCATAACGCTTCTTCAAACCACGAAACCCCCGTTGAAACCCCTATTGTGAATGTTGGTCCAACCTTGAACCCTACCTTTGACTCCTCACCAGATGGTGGTGATGTTGAAATTGACGCAACACCATCACGTGACATGGATGTTCTCATGCCGGATGCAAATCCATTTGGTGATAATTCTGAAGCCTGGGAATACATCTTAAAACTTAAGGATGTATTTCTGGTTGAATTGTCTATTGTTAAAGAAGACTTGAGTATTACAATTGAAGATTGGGAAATAAAATTTCAAAATCTTGAACTTAAAAACAATGAGTTAGCTAAACAACTCATTGCTTTGACCGAAAAGCTTAAAGCTTCAAAAGGACAAGTGAATTCTCTTCGCTCAGAACTTGATGTTTTGAGAAACAATCAGGTTCACACAGAAGTTAAACATGTAATGTTTGAAAAACTCAAAAGGAAGTTAAAGATAATAAGGATCATTGCGATAAAGTGAAACATAAAGCTGATGAAATAGCTAAGATGACTCTTCAAGATTTGTCTCAAGAAAAGCAAGAAACAAAAGAATTATCGACACTGAAATCAAGGAATTCAAAGAAATGACCAACAATCTTGAGAAAAGAGTTGATAATATGGAATACAAAGTTGGAACTATTTCAACTAAGGCTGATTTAACTACCAAAGAACTTAGCTACGCAAAAAGGAAATCAAGAGCGCGGTAAGAAAAGTCGACACTTTGCCTTTTGCTTTGACCCCTAAAACCCCAAATGGAACAACTCCAAAGTTGAAAGACATTATGAAGGCTCAAAAACAACACCGTGAAACTAAAGTTGATGAAGACAAACCCACTTTTAGAGTGTGCATAAGAATTCCAGATACCATGAAAAGAGTTAATATCCCTGCGATTGGAAAGAAAATTGATGCGGTTGCACAAAAGCCGGTGGCTCAGGAAATAGGCTATACTGTCAAAGGGCATTTATATGTTCAACTTAATGACAAAGATTTTGCTGATAAAGCTGCAGAATGGATCCCCAAAGTTGACCCTACTTATTCAGTGCTTGACACAGATTCTTGGTACAAGGCTGTACTTCAGGAAATACCTAATACGGCATCGATTGAAGACTTGAAAGAAACTCTCTACAATTTTAATGATTACCATATTGTTTTGAATACCGAACCCAAAATCATTAGCAGAAACCAATTTACCCAAACAGCATTGGTTTCATTCAGAAATGCCCAAGACTATGCGAAGTGTGCTGATAATCTTATTATCCAGTACACAAAAGTTAAAGTTAGACCTTTTATTAGCAGGAAAAAAACTCCTGAAGAACTCCAAGCTATGCGTAATAAGATACGATTATTGAAAAATGAATCAGACAAAAGGATAATGAGGCCCATCCTGTTTCCACTGACGACTCACAAGATGAACCGATGAAAGAAACAAATATTGAAGAACTAGATGAATCCAATGAGGAAGAAAACGAAAACAATTCTAATACATCCAATGAATTATAAAGTATTCCAACTCAATTGTCATAAATCGAAATCTATTACTGAAACTATCTTAGATAAAAAAGAACCTGATATCTTGTTATTACAAGAACCTTACTTTAACAACTATGGGCCCATTAAACATAAAGATTGGATCCCAATCTTTACAGAAACTGGAAAAGAAAAAAAAATAAATGCAGAGCAATTACTTATATTAGGTCTAACTCTGACTTACGAGCATTAACTACTAAAATTGAAAAGTTTACAAATCGAGATATGGTTACCATTTTGGTTAAAGACATTACAATTGTCAATGTCTATAATCAACCGAAACCATCCAAGAAATACCCTGAGCCACCGGTTTTTGAGTTTCTCAAACGGGAGATCAAGGAACAATACTCAAAGATTGTCATTGCAGGTGATTATAACTTACATCACAAGGAATGGGAGTCAAGGGCAGGTCCGAATACGGAAGCAGATGAAGTTGTTGAGTGGCTACATGAAAATGATATGATGTTAATTACTCCAAGAAATCAAAAAACATACAACAATAGAACCAATATTGATTTGGTTTATGGCTCAGTGGACTTACTTCATAGAATTTCATTTAGTGGAGTGGATGAAAATACACTAAGTGATCACTCAATTGTGGAGTGGGACATCTATATGTCTCAGAGTAAAAACGGGGATGAAGTTTTTACTTCGGTGAAGAGATTGAATATTAAGAATGCAGATTGGGAAAAGTTTGACAAGGAGCTTTCTTCTGCCATTAAAGATTTTAATGTGCATAACAAAACTCTAAAATCAACTGACCAAATTGATGACCAAGCTAAAGTTCTTGAGGAGGTTGTAAAAAGAGCAATGGCAAAGTCGATGAAGGAAGTTAAGGTGATGAAAAAGTCCAAACGCTATTGGAATCAAGAATTAAGGGAGAAGTTAGAAAAAGCGCTAGAAGCTAAGAGGGAAGCCCGTCAAAGGCAACCTTCTTTGGCTTTGAAACGACAAAAAATTGAAGAGGCGAAAAAAGCTAGAAAAATTTTTGACCACAGTTTGCGTGAAGCAAGTACTGAGCAATGGAATAAATATTTGTCTAGTTTAGAAGGAAATGACATTTGGAAGATTTTGAAGTATATTAATCCAAAAAGCAATGATACCATTATACCACAAATTAGAAAAGAAGATGGAACTCTCACTACTACTGTTGACGAAAAAAGACATGAAATATGGAAGGCACTTCTACCTGAAATTGATCATGGTCTTGATAGAGAGTTTGAAATTGATGACGATTCTCGATGGCCAAAATTAGAGTTTGATGAAGTTGACTCTGCATTGGCTGATACCCCAAATGATAAAGCTCCAGGAGACGATGGAATTACTGGCAAAGTTTTAAAGATGGCATGGCTGAATAAAGACTTTAAGGAAAGGTTTCTCAAGCTTCTCCAAGCTTGTGTGAAGTTTGGATACCACCCAAAAGTCTGGAGACATGGCATTATTGTTGTTATACCTAAACCTAAGAAACCTGACTATTCAAAGCCAAGAGCATACCGACCAATTTCCTTACTTAAGATTCCATCTAAAGTACTGGAAAAAATTATACAAAAAAGAATGACCAAGCTTACAACACACTTACTTCCACCAGAGCAATATGGGGGAAGACAAGGTTATTGTGCTACTGATGCTGTTTTGGAACTTGTCCAAAGAATTGTAACTAGTAAGGAAAAAATTTCAGCTATGCTCATTGATATTCAAGGAGCTTTTGATAATGTTAACAGAAATATATTGGCACACACAATGGAGGATATGAAACTACCCAAAGCACTTATAAACTGGACGTACCAATTTGTAAGTGAAAGAGAAGCTAGTATGCTCATGGACCGAAGAAAAGGATCAGTACAAAAAATTAGTACTGGAATTCCGCAAGGCTCACCTATTTCACCACTACTTTTTTTGATATATTCCACACCAATGTATCATGCCATTAAAGAATGGGGTGGAACTCCTTTTGGCTTTATTGATGATGTGACTATTACCGTTGAAGGTAAAATTGAAGAAAATACAAAAGCTTAAGCAACATATTAGAAAAATGTTGTAATTGGGCTAAATCAAGAATGACCAAAATTGATTTGGGTGACAAATTGGGTTTTATTCATTTTACAAAAAATGTGAAACCTAAAGATGAGAAAGTGCAACTTACTTTACCTAATGGAGAACTTCGTGAACCCCAGAAGGAAGTTAAATTGCTTGGAATTACTTTGAACAATCTGCTTGATTTTAAATCTCATATTTTGAATAAAATCAATAAAGCAAGAAAAGCTGTTGGTGCTATTTGGCATCTTGGTGGCGTGCAAAAGGTATGCGAGGGTCTGCAGTCAGATCACTGTATATTGCTTGCGTGAGACCAATTGTCGAATATGGCTTAGAAATTTGGCATCACAAAATTTTGAAAGGAGAAATCCACAAGTTGGAAGTAATGCAGAATATGGCTTTAAGAAGAATTGTTGGTGCTTATCGCACAACTCCTATTGCGGTACTACAAAAGGAAGCTGGTATTATGCCATATAGTATTAGGCTAAAATTTATGGTGGCACGAAAAGCTATTCGTTTACACCTAAATATTAGCAAAACTAATCCTATTAATGGTCATTTGTTAACATTGATTGAGAAATCTCCAATTGCAAAGCTAACCACGCTTTACATGTTGGCGAAAGATGATAGAGACTATATGATTAAAATGGATGAAAACGAAAATGCAAGAGGGTTGAACCTCTTACACTGAAACAACAACAAAATCAGACGATTGGAATTTTGAAAAACAAGCAATGGAAGAATGGCAAGAAATGTATTGGAACAGCAGTAAGGATCTGTGGTATCATAATATCACAGTGGAGTCGAAATGTACTGATAATCTTTCCAAAATGGTTACGGGAGTGATCATGAAGAAAGATAGTCGAAGGATCTTGAGTAATATTACTCAATTTCGCACAGGCCATGGCAACTTTGGCGCATGGTTTAAAAAGTTTGGAATTGAAAAGGATAGTTACAACTGCAAATGTGGAGAGCTGGAAACAGTTCATCACATTTTAGTTGAGTGTCCTTTGCTTGAAGAGGAAAGAAAAGGACTGAAACGGATATCTCCAGAGATGGACATGTCGACTCTCTTAAACAGTTTAACTGGCTTACAAGAGATTGTAAGCTTTATCTCTGCTTGGAGGGATTAAGAAATACAATTACAGCGTTGATGAAGACAAGTGGAGATAGGTTGGGAAGGTTTGGTTATTTTAACCCCCTGTTCCTCGTAAGCTGGCATCAGGACTTATTTTCGGGCTGTTGGAGATGCAATGTTGAAGCCAAAATTAAAAGTTTATTATCAAAATGAAAAAATATATAGTATGGACAAGAAGGATAGCGCAGATGCTGATGTTATATAATTCTATAACCCTTGAATAAAAACAAACAAACAAACAAATTTGGATTTTACAATGAATTTTGGTCCAACCTTGAACCCTACCTTTGACTCTTCACCAGATGGTGGTGATGTTGAAATTGACGCAACACCATCACGTGACATGGATGTTCTCATGCCGGATGCAAATCCATTTGGTGATAATTCTGAAGCCTGGGAATACATCTTAAAACTTAAGGATGTATTTCTGGTTGAATTGTCTATTGTTAAAGAAGACTTGAGTATTACAATTGAAGATTGGGAAATAAAATTTCAAAATCTTGAACTTAAAAACAATGAGTTAGCTAAACAACTCATTGCTTTGACCGAAAAGCTTAAAGCTTCAGAAGGACAAGTGAATTCTCTTCGCTCAGAACTTGATGTTTTAAGAAACAATCAGGTTCACACAGAAGTTAAACATGTGATGTTTGAAAAACTCAAAAAGGAAGTTAAGGATAATAAGGATCATTGCGATAAAGTGAAACATAAAGCTGATGAAATAGCTAAGATGACTCTTCAAGATTTGTCTCAAGAAAAAGCAAGAAACAAAAGAATTATCGACACTGAAATCAAGGAATTCAAAGAAATGACCAACAATCTTGAGAGAAAAGAGTTGATAATATGGAATACAAAGTTGGAACTATTTCAACTAAGGCTGATTTAACTACCAAAGAACTTAGCTACGCAAAAAAGGAAATCAAGAGTGCGGTAAGAAAAGTCGACACTTTGCCTTTTGCTTTGACCCCTAAAACTCCAAATGGAGCAACTCCAAAGTTGAAAGACATTATGAAGGCTCAAAAACAACACCGTGAAACTAAAGTTGATGAAGACAAACCCACTTTTAGAGTGTGCATAAGAATTCCAGATACCATGAAAAGAGTTAATATCCCTGCGATTGGAAAGAAAATTGATGCGGTTGCACAAAAGCCGGTGGCTCAGGAAATAGGCTATACTGTCAAAGGGCATTTATATGTTCAACTTAATGACAAAGATTTTGCTGATAAAGCTGCAGAATGGATCCCCAAAGTTGACCCTACTTATTCAGTGCTTGACACAGATTCTTGGTACAAGGCTGTACTTCAGGAAATACCTAATACGGCATCGATTGAAGACTTGAAAGAAACTCTCTACAATTTTAATGATTACCATATTGTTTTGAATACCGAACCCAAAATCATTAGCAGAAACCAATTTACCCAAACAGCATTGGTTTCATTCAGAAATGCCCAAGACTATGCAAAGTGTGCTGATAATCTTATTATCCAGTACACAAAAGTTAAAGTTAGACCTTTTATTAGCAGGAAAAAAACTCCTGAAGAACTCCAAGCTATGCGTAATAAGATACGATTATTGAAAAATGAATCAGACAAAAAGGATAATGAGGCCCATCCTGTTTCCACTGACGACTCACAAGATGAACCGATGAAAGAAACAAATATTGAAGAACTAGATGAATCCAATGAGGAAGAAAACGAAAACAATTCTATTACATCCAATGAATTATAAAGTATTCCAACTCAATTGTCATAAATCGAAATCTATTACTGAAACTATCTTAGATAAAAAAGAACCTGATATCTTGTTATTACAAGAACCTTACTTTAACAACTATGGGCCCATTAAACATAAAGATTGGATCCCAATCTTTACAGAAACTGGAAAAGAAAAAAATAAATGCAGAGCAATTACTTATATTAGGTCTAACTCTGACTTACGAGCATTAACTACTAAAATTGAAAAGTTTACAAATCGAGATATGGTTACCATTTTGGTTAAAGACATTACAATTGTCAATGTCTATAATCAACCGAAACCATCCAAGAAATACCCTGAGCCACCGGTTTTTTGAGTTTCTCAAACGGGAGATCAAGGAACAATACTCAAAGATTGTCATTGCAGGTGATTATAACTTACATCACAAGGAATGGGAGTCAAGGGCAGGTCCGAATACGGAAGCAGATGAAGTTGTTGAGTGGCTACATGAAAATGATATGATGTTAATTTCTCCAAGAAATCAAAAAACATACAACAATAGAACCAATATTGATTTGGTTTATGGCTCAGTGGACTTACTTCATAGAATTTCATTTAGTGGAGTGGATGAAAATACACTAAGTGATCACTCAATTGTGGAGTGGGACATCTCTATGTCTCAGAGTAAAAACGGGGATGAAGTTTTTACTTCGGTGAAGAGATTGAATATTAAGAATGCAGATTGGGAAAAGTTTGACAAGGAGCTTTCTTCTGCCATTAAAGATTTTAATGTGCATAACAAAACTCTAAAATCAACTGACCAAATTGATGACCAAACTAAAGTTCTTGAGGAGGTTGTAAAAAGAGCAATGGCAAAGTCGATGAAGGAAGTTAAGGTGATGAAAAAGTCCAAACGCTATTGGAATCAAGAATTAAGGGAGAAGTTAGAAAAAGCGCTAGAAGCTAAAGGGAAGCCCGTCAAAGGCAACCTTCTTTGGCTTTGAAACGACAAAAAAATTGAAGAGGCGAAAAAAGCTAGAAAAATTTTTGACCACAGTTTGCGTGAAGCAAGTACTGAGCAATGGAATAAATATTTGTCTAGTTTAGAAGGAAATGACATTTGGAAGATTTTGAAGTATATTAATCCAAAAAGCAATGATACCATTATACCACAAATTAGAAAAGAAGATGGAACTCTCACTACTACTGTTGACGAAAAAAGACATGAAATATGGAAGGCACTTCTACCTGAAATTGATCATGGTCTTGATAGAGAGTTTGAAATTGATGACGATTCTCGATGGCCAAAATTAGAGTTTGATGAAGTTGACTCTGCATTGGCTGATACCCCAAATGATAAAGCTCCAGGAGACGATGGAATTACGGGCGAAGTTTTAAAGATGGCATGGCTAAATAAAGACTTTAAGGAAAGGTTTTTCAAGCTTCTCCAAGCTTGTGTGAAGTTTGGATACCACCCAAAAGTCTGGAGACATGGCATTATTGTTGTTATACCTAAACCTAAGAAATCTGATTATTCAAAGCCAAGAGCATACCGACCAATTTCCTTACTTAAGATTCCATCTAAAGTACTGGAAAAAATTATACAAAAAAGAATGACCAAGCTTACAACACACTTACTTCCACCAGAGCAATATGGGGGAAGACAAGGTTATTGTGCTACTGATGCTGTTTTGGAACTTGTCCAAAGAATTGAAACTAGTAAAGAAAAAATTTCAGCTATGCTCATTGATATTCAAGGAGCTTTTGATAATGTTAACAGAAATATATTGGCACACACAATGGAGGATATGAAACTACCCAAAGCACTTATAAACTGGACGTACCAATTTGTAAGTGAAAGAGAAGCTAGTATGCTCATGGACCGAAGAAAAGGATCAGTGCAAAAAATTAGTACTGGAATTCCGCAAGGCTCACCTATTTCACCACTACTTTTTTTGATATATTCCACACCAATGTATCATGCCATTAAAGAATGGGGTGGAACTCCTTTTGGCTTTATTGATGATGTGACTATTACCGTTGAAGGTAAAATTGAAGAAAATACCAAAAGCTTAAGCAACATATTAGAAAAATGTTGTAATTGGGCTAAATCAAGAATGACCAAAATTGATTTGGGTGACAAATTGGGTTTCATTCATTTTACAAAAAATGTGAAACCTAAAGATGAGAAAGTGCAACTTACTTTACCTAATGGAGAACTTCGTGAACCCCAGAAGGAAGTTAAATTGCTTGGAATTACTTTGAACAATCTGCTTGATTTTAAATCTCATATTTTGAATAAAATCAATAAAGCAAGAAAAGCTGTTGGTGCTATTTGGCATCTTGGTGGCGTGCAAAAAGGTATGCGAGGGTCTGCAGTCAGATCACTGTATATTGCTTGCGTGAGACCAATTGTCGAATATGGCTTAGAAATTTGGCATCATAAAATCTTGAAAGGAGAAATCCACAAGTTGGAAGTGATGCAGAACATGGCTTTAAGAAGAATTGTTGGTGCTTATCGCACAACTCCTATTGCGGTACTACAAAAGGAAGCTGGTATTATGCCATATAGTATTAGGCTAAAATTTATGGTGGCACGAAAAGCTATTCGTTTACACCTAAATATTAGCAAAACTAATCCTATTAATGGTCATTTGTTAACATTGATTGAGAAATCTCCAATTGCAAAGCTAACCACGCTTTACATGTTGGCGAAAGATGATAGAGACTATATGATTAAAAAGGATGAAAAACGAAAATGCAAGAGGGTTGAACCTCTTACACTGATACAACAACAAAATCAGACGATTGGAATTTTGAAGAAACAAGCAATGGAAGAATGGCAAGAAATGTATTGGAACAGCAGTAAGGATCTGTGGTATCATAATATCACAGTGGAGTCGAAATGTACTGATAATTTTTCCAAAATGGTTACGGGAGTGATCATGAAGAAAGATAGTCGAAGGATCTTGAGTAATATTACTCAGTTTCGCACAGGCCATGGCAACTTTGGCGCATGGTTTAAAAAGTTTGGAATTGAAAAGGATAGTTACAACTGCAAATGTGGAGAGCTGGAAACAGTTCATCACATTTTAGTTGAGTGTCCTTTGCTTGAAGAGGAAAGAAAAGGACTGAAACGGATATCTCCAGAGATGGACATGTCGACTCTCTTAAACAGTTTAACTGGCTTACAAGAGATTGTAAGCTTTATCTCTGCTTGGAGGGATTAAGAAATACAATTACAGCGTTGATGAAGACAAGTGGAGATAGGTTGGGAAGGTTTGGTTATTTTTAACCCCCTGTTCCTCGTAAGCTGGCATCAGGACTTATTTTCGGGCTGTTGGAGATGCAATGTTGAAGGCAAAATTAAAAGTTTATTATCAAAATGAAAAAATATATAGTATGGACAAGAAGGATAGCGCAGATGCTGATGTTATATAATTCTATAACCCTTGAATAAAAACAAACAAACAAACATTTGGATTTTAAATTTTTCATTTTTTTCAAGAGACCACCTCGATTCTTGAAGAAAAGTAACTATCCAGGAAAAATATCACTACTGGATTAAAAAAGGTAAAGCCAACAAAATTTTGGGGAAATTTAAAGCACAAATTTAAATATGATATTTTTTTTAAAATAAAATTCGGATTTACATTTTAACATTAGATTATATAAAAAAAATTAATAGGTCACGTGACTTGTATTAAGACATATCCAATTTATTTGTTATAAAAATTAAGTTTTTAAGTTTTTAGCGTTAGTGGTTTAGCGGTAAAATTCGTCGTTGCCATCGACGAGCCCCCGGTTCGACTCCGGGCTGACGCATAGCATCAATTTTTTTTTATAAAAGTCATTTTTTTTTACTTTGAAAAAGTATTTTTGTTTTTTTGGGATTGCATTTGTAAAAAATGAAAGTTGGAAGAACTAAAGTAATTTTGAAATTTTAACTCTTTTTTTTTGAGGTGTACCGTAAATTGCATAAGCATTTTTGAAATATATGGGTGAAAAAAACAATTTTTTAATGCAAGTACTTTAGAATTCATTGAACATCCTTCCTTTAATATTTATATCATATTGTCTCTTTTTTTTAATAAAAATAAATAAAAATTGATTATTAAACATTAAAAACATTAAAAAAATATAGATATATATATATGTTACAATTCAAAAATAAAAAATAAAATAATAATTTCGTTACTCATTCACTCATAAGTTGTTTTGTTGTAGTTGTTCTTTTTTTTTTTTTTTTCCTCTCTTCTCCTTCTTCTATATTAATTCAGTTTTCCAACAAGCGAAAGGCCAATTCCATTTAAATTGACATTATTCAAATTATTAGTTGTATAATAATCAAATTCTGTGCCACTGACAAGACCACGGATACGGACATTCACGGGGGAATTGCGGACATCGCCCTTTGTTTTAAGTGGAACATCAATGCGCAACGAGTTTCCAGAAGTAGGAGGAGCAGTCAACTTGACTTCTGCTGCAGTTGTAGTTAAAGGAGAGCATCCTGCTTCAAAAGTGTGGTAGTTCAAGTCATAAATAGCTTGTGCGCCGATTCCGCTAGTCTGGCTCACATGAATCTGGCTGCATTCAAAATCAAAGCGGGCACCAAAAGAAATACCAAGACTTGTCCAATTAACAAAAGAAGCAGGAATGTAAACCTGAATAAGACTGTGGTCAGGATAAGTGTATGCATTTGAAGAGGGGAAATCTGTATCCACAGGAGCCAAGTCAATAGCATTTACCATAGCAATACCATCACTAGTCTTAAACGTCAAGGGGACCAGTTCATTGCCATATGTCTCTGGGTATTTGAGTGAAGTTGTAAAGTAAATAGAGCCTGTAATAAAGGTACGGTTCCAAGGATAAATTACAGTAGCAATCAAAATGTTATTGACAAAAGTGACATTAAGAGTAGGGGTTCCTTCTTCATTATTGACTGAAAAGGGCTTGGGAAAAGTGGCAAACTGGTGAGGCAAAGTAACATTGAATGAATCGCCTAACACCAATGGCTTTTCAGAGTTGATAGTGATAGTAACTTCAAATGAATCAAAAGGACTAAGGGCTAAAGTGGCATTGGTATTCAGACTACCAACATCAATGTTAGTCACCGTAATTGAAGAAGACGGAGAAGAACTGCTTGAATTAGTAGGAAGGGACGAGTTTGTACCATTATTAAAAAGAGGAGCAGGTTTGGAGTAGTAGTAAATAGGGTCAGAAAGATAAACTTCCCATTCGTTAGTCGTGGTGAAAATGGGGTCGTGGCCTGGAATTCCTGGAAGCCCAGCATACAATACACGATAAACACCAGAGTTAATAGAAACTCCATCAGGGAACTTGAACGGGAACACAAGACCATTAGCTGAGCGGCCCAAATTTGTAGCAGGGAAACTTGAAAAATCAGTTACAATTCCAGGCTGCTCAGAAATTTGGAAAACAGGTAGTGTCAAGTTTGTAATGTTAAAGTGTTCTTCAACCAAAAATGCATCCACAGCCTTTGCACCAATCAACGCATTCATAAACAGAGCAGAAGTACCATCATCAGTCACTTGAATGGTCTTGTCCTTGACAACCTCAACATCACTGCGGGCATTACGTTGGGCAAGAATTACAGGAGGACGGGAGCCCCAAATGCTAAAGTTACTTGCAAAAGTGCCAGTGTACGGGAGGGCAACAACATCACCATTATGGCCAGAAATCTGAATACGGCCTTGGTAAATCGGAGAAAGTAAGTTAGAAACAGTATTGGGGATAGTAATAGAAACCGTTATAGTGCGGATAGAGTTTGGTGGGATGGTAAAGATACTATAGTCCTGCTTGACCGATGCATATTGCTGGATAAAGGGCGGGAAATAGTTGAAAATAACACCACCAAAATTCTTTGCATAAATAGTAGTAGAGGGGATATGGGTGACATTGTAAATTACTGCATAATTGTTTTCGTTGCGAATAGTGACACGATTGTCTCGATAAACATGTTCGGAAACAACCCCCATATTGAGAATAGGATCAGACATGATAAAGGTTTTAGAATCAACAAGACGAGTTGCATTAACAAGACCGCTTCCTTGCTGAATGAGAGGAGCAATAACACGTGGAGAGGCAGTCTCCATTAGTGAAAACAAAGGATAAGCAGTTTGAATCATTCTGCTGCGAATCTCACGACCATAAGCCTTGGAAGTTCCTCGGCCACCGACACTTTGTAAATAAAGTGCAGCCACACCGGAAATATATGGAGTTGACATGCTTGTTCCAGAAAGAATTGAGTAGCTGTAATTGCGATAAGTTGAAAAAATGTTGCTTCCAGGAGCAGATACTTGAGGGTACAAATTGCCACCAAAGTCTGGGCCCCAGGAGGTGAATGAGGAAAGCTGAGTACCGAAAAACTCAGCAGGATTGAGCAATAGGCGGGGGACAAGAGAAGTTTCATCAAGGACTATGCGAACTGAGTGGTTGAGAGCAAGTTGTTGATTGATCCAAACACCTGCTGCGTTTTCTGCAGTTGCACGGAGCCCAATTGGGTTGGAAAAGGAGCCACCGGGACTGGTGTATGTAAGAGTATCAGTAGGCTTGTCAAGGTAATTGAAAACCACAGGATACCCGAGATCCTTGACAGCGTAAAACCAATCATAGTTGCGGCATGTTTTTTGAGGGAGGAACAAAGCATTGGGAGAGTTGGGAGAGTTTACCGGAAGAGTTTTATTTTTGGTGAGAACACAAGCGCTATCATTAAAAGTTTTAATGTCAAAAGTGCCAGTGACGTTGAACTGTACACCAGTAGTAGAAACAAAAGTAAACTCAAGAGAATCAAGAGAAGAAGATACAAGACGAGCACGGTAACTTACAATCTGGTTTGTGGTAGAAGAGCCAACTGTGGTAATGTGACGGCCTGTGGCAAGTGCGCTGCCGAAAAAGGGACCTGTGGACCCAGAGTTCCCAGCTGCAACTGCAGCAAACACACCCTGATCTACCAAGCGATCAAGCACCAGTCCTTCAGGATTATTTTGGAATGGATCACCATTGGATCCCAGCGAAAGAGATACAATGTCGACTCCATCTTCATATGCACGCAAAATGGCCTTGAGGATAATGTCACTGGTTGCAGAGCCACGGCACCCGAAAATCTTGTATGAGCGCAGTGTGGCATCCGGTGCAACGCCTATAAACTTTGTATTATTTGAGCCACCAATAATTCCAGCAACATGTGATCCATGGCCGTTACAGTCTAATGGGTTCCCATTGCCTGTGACATTGAATCCTTGGAATGCTGGGTCATACAAGTCTCCCACAAAGTTCCATCCACCAGCAACTTTAAAACCATTGCCAAATCCACCGCCAAGAGCCTCGTCATAGTAAAAAGTTCCAGTGTCAATGATTCCCACAGTGACTCCCTTACCTGTGATGCCACGTTTGTGAAGCTCAGATACACCAGTGAGTAAGTGAGGGTTCCAACGTGGGAAAGGTTCCAGGCGTTCTTTTTCTCCAGGTGGGATAATCTCAACAATTGAGTCATTAGAAAACCCTCCATTGTTATTACGAGGGACCAGTTTGTTATTATTATTATTATTATTATTATTATTGTTATACACTTGCTCGTCCACAAGTGGGCTTGCAAACCCATCATCATTCAACAACTCAACTGTCCGTACAGGCCACACATTCTTAACATCTGGGAGTCGGCGTAACCGTGCAAGTGTCTCTTTAGGGTTTGATCCAGGAGCTTCACGAATGGCCAGAGCTGCACCTTCAAACAAATCTGGAGAGTCGTATGTGTAGAGAGGTTGTGCAGTCATGCCATTGGCGCTAAGAGCTTGAACCAATTCGTCAGCTGGGTTGCCAGTCGAGGAACGTTTAATCAGTTCACTGGCATCTTCAAACTCAATAATGTATCTCCCTGGAACAATGTTTTGAGGGTTTGCTGGGACTACTGTTGCGGAAGTAGCAGCAAATAAAAATCCAATTGTAATTGCTAGATGTTGTAGAAGTCTAGTCATTGTGATAATGATTAAAAGGTGAAATTCTACAAAAAAAAAAAAAAAAAAAACCAGAAATCAGAATTTTTGTATGTTTATATACTCATTTTTTTTCAAAAAAAAAAAAAAAAAAGATTTCAATATTTCGTCAGTAAACATGAAGAATTCATGTTGAAGGGCTTCATGTAAACTTGTAAAGTTGAGGCCAGATTAATGCAAAATGATATGTGAAAAATTACCAAGAAAAAAAAAAAAAAAAAGCATTCATCAACAAATTTATCATAACCATGCTTTACATAAAACTTAAATATCAAATAGGTTTACACCAGGCCTACTACTACGGGTTTTAAATCCATCATCCTTTTCGGCCACAGTCGTGCTGCTGGTGCTTCCCTTTGTGTCGCTCAAAGAAGCATCACCCAGCATCCATGCAAATTCACTTTCTGCAAGTGTGGTGCGCGCATGTTGTCCGCCAGTGGTACTGCATCCTGCACCACTTGCACGTTTTTCGCGCGCTTGGCTCGGACTGGTAGAATCATGCGCTTCGTCTGTTGGTGTAACATGATGGTTAAGTGTGTGATTGGTAATAGCAATGACGGGTTTCTTACGCACACGCGTGCGGATACGAATAGGTGCTGGGGCTGCATCCACTGCAACAATATTGGTCGCCAGTAAAGGCACCGAGTCTGTGGGTTGTGCAGACTTGACAGGGCTACGGGAGCGTGAGGGTGACGACGACGACGACGATTGTGCGGCAAAGCCGGCTGGCGGTGTAATGGGAGGGACGAGGTGCGGCGGAGATAGGGTTGAGGGTGAGAGCAGTTGCGAGGCTGATTTTTCCAAAGCTTCTTTTGTGGGCAGTGGAGCTTCGCTAGAGTTTTCTTCTTCTTCTTCTTCTTCTTCTGGTGGTGGTGGTGGAGGAGGATTTGTAGCTGGTGTGCTTGGAGGCTCAAGTTCTTTTACTGACGGAGTTTCGGCCACTGCTTGTGGGTCGACATTTTCTAGTTCCGGGTCAGGCCCGCTTGAGGTTGTGCTTTCTGGACGTCCAACTTCAATGCTTGATCTTGTTGACGGCGAAGACGAGCTAATAGACCGGATTTCAACGTCATATGTTTCTGAAGGTTTGCCAATAATTGGTACAAGGTACTTTTGAGCGGCCCGCGCACGTTCTCTTCGCCGGCTGGCGGTAGCCTCGTCGCCGAAAAAGCTAGATGCACCACTTGTTGTTGCAGAATTAAGGAAATCTCTTGCAAACCGTACATATTCGATGGCTGTGTTGCGTTCATTTTCACTGACAGGTGTTGTGGAATCAAAAACTGCCAGCGCATTGCTTAGCACAGCAGCTGCAACCTGGGTTGTTGATAGACTTCGAGGTGTTGTTGGTGTTGATGATCCTGAATCTGCTCCAGTAACACTTCCAAGTATACCCATAAGCCCGGCAGCTGCGGAATTTCCTTGAATACCTTTGGATCTTGCGCGTTCAGCCTGGGTACGGACTTGAGTTTTGACTTGGGCAAAGGCTCCACGCATGGCACGGTCCATATCGTCCCAAGGTCCACGTGCAGCTTGTGCAGCACGGCGCCGGGCCTTATCCACAAGTGAGTCGATGTTTGCAGCAACACCAGTAGGAAGACCGAGAGCTCCAGTTTGTGGTGCAACTGCTGGCAGCAGATGTGCATTGTATTGTAGAGTAACGTGGTGGCCGGCGTCTGCGGCTGCACGAGCGGCATCACGGGCAAAATGGCCAGGGGCCAGACCATCTGTTGGGCAAATATAGCGAGCAAGATATAGGCCGTTTGCGACAAATGAATACATTGTTTTTATGTCAACAGAAGAAGATGGGTAGTTGAGGACTGTGATGAGAAGATCCGAGGTGTGTAAGTCCGGTGCTAAGAGTTGTGGGGAAATGCGAAGAAGGAGGACAGTTGCTACCAGATCGACAAGGACGGTTAAAGGGATGCATTTTTTATCGTCTATGCTTGCCATGAGAGCGTCATGATCTCTTTTTAAGGTGAATGGAGAGTTTGAAGGTTCTGGGATTGTTGGGTCAGTTGCAGCAAAAAGAGCATCCCAAAGATAGAGTGTTTTTTGAAATCCAAACTCTCTGCCAAACAGCAGGCGGACCCAGCGGAGCCCCCAGATTTGGGGTTCGATTTGGTTTTCGCGGAGAGCCGTGCAAAGTTCCGGGTCGGTAATTTTGAGCAAGATGCCTTCAATGGCCGCGGATTTGGCCACAATAGCCGGCGTAGTGGTGGCCGAAGTAGCTGGTAGGTACCATTGTCTAGCATGAGCCATGAGGGCAGCGAAAAGAGCATAAGCGTCAGCCTCGAGATAAGACTGGGAGCAGGTAGTAGTTGCAGAGTCAAAGTTATTTTGGATGTCAATGTGAACAACCCAAAGCATTGGACCAGCGAGCTCGTGCATGCCCTGGCGATAGCCTTCGTCTGGGTGACGTTTAGCATAGATGTATAGAATGTTGAAGAGGGCAGAATGGGCCTCTGGATTGCGGAAATATTGGAGTTCAGGGAAGGTACGCTCTACATCTTTTGTGATAATATCTCGAAGCTCTTCATCGTCTTCATTTTCACTGGAGACATTTTGAGATGGCCATGATGCAGAAAGAGGGTCGGATATGTCTTGGGCTGATTTTGATTGGGAGGAGGTTGAAGACTGGGTATTTGCTAATAATCCCATGGGAGCAAACCGGGCAATATCCACGGCGTATTCGTCTCGAGCTTTATTTAAGATAGCAGACCATTTTGTTTGATCATAAGTGTTAAAAAGTAAACAAAGTTTCCAAAGAAGCGAGCGTGGGACTGAGTCGTCAAGAAGAAGTTTCCCCGACCACAGAGAGCTACGGAGGAGCGAGAGGTCTGGATATAAAGCACGGAACCGAGTCCATGAGAATTTGCTTTAATAAGGAGTGTTAAATAAGAGAGAAGTTTTTTCTTTTTTTTCTTTCTTTTTCTTTCTTTTTTCAATAATAAATTTTTTAAAAAAAAAATTTACTTACTTGGAGACGGTCATTGCTTTCTTTTTTTATTTTTCTGTTTAAAAAAAAAAAAAAAAAAACTAAAAGGGTGGTGATGTTTAAAAATTTCAGAAAGGCCAAGGTGGAGAGAAAAAATAAAAAATAAAAATGAGCAGAATTTTAGTTCTTTGTGGAGAAATTAAACTAATTTAGTTAATTTAATTTAATTAATTTTAAATGTTAATTTTTTTAACTATTTTTCTTAGTCAGCATTAACTTAACATGTTTTGGTCACGTTAAATTAGTAAAATCAGCCGTGTTTAGTCGCACCACCAATAATTGCTACTCCGTTAATCATCAAATCCCACTGTTCACCTCATCGAGGACTCCGGTAAATTTTTTTTTTTTTTTTCATTATATAACAAGTTTCTTAAAAAAAACAATGCATTAAAATTCAAATTACTACTTAAAGGTTACCAATAGTTTTTTTTTTTTATTATTTTCATCATAAAGTCATATCGTCGTTACAAAAAAATATAGAAAGAAAAGCTCCTTCATGCGCAATTAACCGCGAACCACAGCATCAATGGCCTTAGCAACATAAGCCACATTATGATCATTAAGACCCGCCATGGATATCCGGCCATTGCGGGTAAGATAAACGTGAAACTCATCAACCAACCGGTCAACCTGTGCTGGCGATAGACCTGTAAATGAAAACATGCCAATCTGAGTGACAATGTGATCCCAGCAGCCTGGTGTGCCGAGACGAATAAGTTCCTGACGAAGAGCATTGCGCATTTTAATGATACGAGACGACATTGTAGTCAAGTCTGATTGCCACTCGGCAAACAAATCAGGGTTATTGAGAATGCGTGAGGCAATGCGGGCACCATAGGCAGGAGGATTTGAAATTTCCGAGCGCTGAAGAAGACTCAGCTGGGAGTGAACGGCCGAGCGGGTGTCTTCGTCAGCAGTAATAAGGTGGAGAGCACCAACACGTTCGCCATAGAGGCCAAAGTTCTTAGCAAAGGACTGGCAAACAAGGAGCTCAATGCCACGATCGACAAAGTGGCGGACGGCCCAGGCATCCTTATCCAAGTCACCTGAAGCAAAACCTTGGTAGGCGCAATCAAAGAGGGGGAAAAGTCGGCGTTCAATGATAACGTCCGCAATCTTTGACCATTGTTCATGAGAGGGGTCAATACCAGTAGGATTATGTGCGCAAGCATGGAGCAGGACCACTTCACCTGGAGAGGCATTTGATAGAGTTTCAATGAGGCCTTCAAAGTCTAGCGAGAGGGTATCAGCCTTAAAGTATGGGTAAGTCTTGACGGTAAGGCCAACATTTTTAAAGATGCTAAAGTGGTTTGCCCATGTTGGGTTAGAGACATAAATGACGCCATTAGAGTCATTCGATGGGTTAAAGCCGAGGGGCGGGAATCGGGCGAGAAAGAGGCCTGCGAGGTGGTTTGCGCCAGTGCCTGAAATAGTCTGGACAGATGCCACACGCTTCTGGGCAATTGCTGGGGAGGTTGAGCCGAGAATTAAACGGGCAGCGCCAGCTGTAAAGTCGGGAAGACCCGCAATGGGGAGGTATTCATGGTTTAGGGTTGGGTCGGAAGAAATTAGAGCATCGGCCTTTAAAGAAGGGGGAAAAAAAAATAAAGGTTAGCATGTGATCAAAGGCCTAATTGATAATGATATTGATATTGATAGATATTGATATTGATATTGATATTGATATTGAAAATACTCACTTTTCTAACAGAAGGAAGAATCCAAGGTTTTCCATTGTTATCTCTGTATGCACCAACACCGAGATCAACTTTATTAGGAAAGGGATCAGCCTTATGACGAGCCATGAGACCGAAAAGAGGGTCAACAGGAGCAGTATCTACCCGAAAGCCGGACTTATGGATCGGGGCATGTTTTTGATTATTTGCTAGGTCAACGAGGTTTGAATTTGAAGACATGATTGCAGAAAGTCTATTTTGGGAGAGATCTAATGGTTGAGGGGAAAGGGTCTTCATTTTTTATAAAAGTGTTGATTGTATGTATTTATATATATATATATTATAATTAATTATGATGATTATTGAATTATAATGACTTTGTGAATGTGATTGATTTAGGATAGAAAGTTTTTATTTTTTTTTTAATAAAAAATTTTTGGAATTGTTTGAAATTTATATCAATGAGATAATGATATAATGATTTTGATAAGGGGGGGTTTTATGTGAAATATATGAAATGAATTATGGAAATTTAGAAAATAAAAATAAAAAAAATAAAAATAAAATAAAAAATTTAAAATAAAAGGGAATTTCCAAGGTTTATATAGTTTTATGGTTATCTTTTTTTAAATGACTATTTATTTATACTTTTATATATTCATATATATAGATATAGGAAAGATAGCATAATACTCTGATCAAAAGACTCATTTTTTTTTTTTATGTATGTGGAAGAGGCGGGGGACAGTAAAAAAAAAAAAAAAAAAAAAAAGAAAAATTGCTACGGAACTTTAGATAAAAAAAAAATATATAAAAATAAAAATGAAAATAAAAGAGGCAGTTTTGTTTGTAAGAATGTTAAAAAACTAATCTATCTTCTAACATTTTAATATTTGAGGCTGATATAATTTTTTGATTGAGAGAAAATTAAAAGATAATGAATTATAAGGGAAATTTAAAAAAAAAAAAAAAAAAAAAAAAAAATGAGGAGAAAAGATTAGTCATTTTTAGAATGATTGCGTAATCTTGTAATATTAGGTAATCTAGTTTACATTTCTAAACATATCCAACATGTATGACAAAATAATTATGTAATGTACGGCTGAAATAAACATTTTTGTTAAAGCAAAAAAAAAAAAAAAAAAAAAACTTTTTTTAAATTAATAAATGAATTTTTTGTTTTCATGGGCCATTTTATTTATTTATTTATTCAATTGTTGCTAAATAAACAAAAAATAAGATTCTTTTTAAAATAAAAATATATTAATAGTAAATATATATATATATATATATCATTGATGTTTCAATTCTTAAGAATAAAAGTAAACCATTCATTTTATTATTATTAAAAAAAAAACAAAATTTAATTTTTTTTTCTTGTTTAATTTTTTTTTTTATTTTCCCCGCGTTGAACTTCATTCTTAGTTACTAAGCGTATTTTTTAATATATATATATATATATATATCAATATAAATAAATAAATAAATAAATATATGCCCACCTATGAACTCATTCCGATTTATTTTCATTATCCGAGGCCCTACTAAAAAAAAAAAAAAAAAAAACTAAAACTACCACCACCATCACCCCTCTCTCTCTCTATTTTTTTTTTTTTCTAACTAGTAGTTATTATCGTGTGTGTTTGTTTTTTGTTTGTGTGTTACTTTTTTTTCCATACAAAAAAAAAAAAATTTTTTTTTCCTCTCCTTCTTCTTCTTCTCCACATTTCAAAAATAAAAATTTTTTCTTCTTTTTTTTTTTTTTTTTTTTTGATTTGAATTTTTACATGTCCATACATTTCCTTGTATTTCTCTTAAGATTTTTGCTACTAGAAGAAAAAAAAAAAAAAATAAGTTCATTTCAATTGTATTACACATTAATTAATTAATTAATTAATTAATTAATTAATTAATAATTACTTGTTACATTTCATATATATAATCTTGTAATTACAACAAACCCTATTCCTAACTTCATTCCTTTTTTTTTTTATAAATAAATAAATAAATAAATTCTTCCAGGGGAAAGTGGTCCCGTTCTTTGTTCACGTGAGTTCTTGCCGTTTGATTTTCTGTTATCAGTCAGTCAGTCAGTCAGTCAGTCAGTCACTTAGCCGGCACTTCGGAAGTTCCTGAAACAGGCAGTTCCAATAATATAATATTTAATTAATTAATATAATTAATATAATCATAATAATCATAATAATCATAATAATTTTTTATTAATAATTTAATGGCAAAGGCCGACCGATTTAAGAGACTTATTACGGGAATGATGGAAATTATAGGAACATGACAAAATACCGGATTGGTATTTTTATTTTTTTTATGAGAGTTATTTATAACTAGCACATGAATTTTTTATTTTATTTTATTTTATTTATTTTTGATATATATATACATGTTATCAAAAGTCAACTTCCAACCTTGTAGTAGACATTATATATATATAAAACCGTTTTACGGAGCAGCCATTTTGATAAAAAAAAAAAATAAAAAAAAAAAATAAAGGCCTCAAAGGAATTCAAGTAAAAAAACAAAAAATTAAATAAATAAAGGAGTGTAATTTGATAAATTTGATAAATTTGATATCAATTTCATTTCCCCTCAATTTCACAAAAAAAAAAAAAAAAGATACTCGTTCTAATGGAAATTTCCTTATCTGGGGGAAAAGAAGATGGAGAAGAAAAAGAAGAATATCATCATCATCGATATAATTACGAGAGGGACGAGAGGGATTTTTTTTTCCTGGAATATATATATAAAAGCAGTTTAATTATATGTATGTATAAGTTTCAAGAAAATAAAAAATAAAAAAAATAAAGAAAACGTTAAAGTCTGGAAGAGCCGTTTTTTTATTTTATTATTAAATTAAATTATAATGGTTATCTCTATCCAGGGGAAAATATTGAAGGAATATGATCATATGTATATATATATATATATATATATAAATAAAAGTCTCAAATGTGTGGGTGAGTGGGAGAGATTAGACAAGAAATAAAAATTTAAATTGTGGAGAAGTTAAACAATAAGACTTATACCATTAGCTTTATACCTTATTATATAATACTTAATATTTAAAACATAATACTTATATAAAATTTAACATATAAGTATACCTTCCAGAAAATACATTTTAAAGCAATTACTAAACTTCTTTTTGCTTTACTTTACTTTACTTTGCTTTATTTTTATTTTTATTTTTTTTTAACCCCACAAATTCGGCGTTTATTCATTTATAAATGGTAATTACCTTTAATAATTTTCATAAACGGCTTTTCCTCTCTCTCTCTCTCTCTATATCTCAATACCAGGTACCACCATCACTCAGATCTAACTAAAACTTGCTTCTCCCCCCACACTCACACTCAACTAATGGAATTTCACTATTCTTATACACTACACTACACTAATATATTAATACTAATATACTTACTTACTCTCTCACTGTATTACAGTCTAAACTAAAAATGTTTAAAATCCTCCTTCCCTCTTTTCTTTTCTTTTATTTTTCTTCT